TGCCAAATTTCAGCCCATTCCGACACCGTCGCAACAAATGAAAAAATTGTCCCTGGTGCGGTTTTTCTTTGTTAATTTTTTGTCCAGCACTTCTTCAAACTCTAAAGCTAGTTGTCCTATATCTGTCCAATTTCTTGGGCCGTTTCCAATCAACCTACCTAATTTCAGCCCATTCTGACATCGTCGCGACAAATGACAAAATTGCCCCTGGTGCGATTTTTCTTTGTTAATTTTCTGTCCAACACTTCTTCAAACTCCAAAGCTAGATGTCCTGTATCAGTCCAATTTCTTGGGCCGTTTCCAATCAACCTGCCAAATTTCAGCGCATTCCGACACCGTCGCGACAAATGACAAAATTGCCCCAGGTACGATTTTTCTTTGTTAATTTTCTGTCCAACACTTCTTCAAACTCCAAAGCTAGCTGTCCTATATCAGTCCAATTTCTTGGGCCATTTCCCATCGACCAGCCAAACGTCAGCCCATTTCAATACCGTTGCGACAAATAACAAAATTGCCCCTGGTGCGATTTTTCTTTGTTAATTTTCTGTCCAACTCTTCTTCAAACTCCAAAGCTAGCTGTCCTATATCATTCCACACCGTCGCGACAAATGATAAAATTGCCCCTCGTACTGCTTTTCTTTGTTAACTTTCTGTCCAACCCTTCTTCAAACTCCAATGCTAGTTGTCCTATATCAGTCAAATTTTTCGAGCCGTTTCCAATCAAACTGCCAAATTTCAGCCCATTTCGACACCATCACGATAAATGAAAAAATTGCCCCTGATGCGGTTTTTCTTTATTAATTTTCTGTTCAACACTATTTCAATCTCCAAAGCAATTTTTCCTATATCAATCCAATTTCTCGGGCCATTTCCAATCAACCTGCCTAATTTCAGCGCATTCCGACACCGTCGCGAAAAATGACAAAATTACCTCGGGTGCGATATTTCTTTGTTAATTTTCTGTCCAACACTTCTTCAAACTCCAAAGCTAGATGTCCTATATCAGTCCAATTTCTCAGGCCGTTCCAAATCGACTTGCCAAATGTCAGCCTATTCTGACACCGTCGCGACAAATGACAAAATTGTCCCTAGTGCAGTTTTTCTTTGTTAATTTTCTGTCCAACACTTCTTCAAACTCCAAAGCTAGCTCTCCTACATCAATCCAATTACTCGGACTGTTTCCAATCAACCCACCAAATTTAAAGCCATTCCGACATCGTCGCCACAAATGACAAAATTGTCCCTGGTGCGATTTTTCTTTGTTAATTTTCCGTCCAACACTTCTTCAAACTCCAAAGCTAGTTGTCCTATATCAGTCCAATTTCTTGGGTCGTTTCCAATCAACCTGCCAAATTTCTGCCCATTCCGACGCTGTCGCGACAAATGACAAAATTGCCCGTGGTGCGGTTTTTCTTTGTTAATTTTCTATCCAACACTTCTTCAAACTCCAAAACTAGTTGTCCTATATTAGTCCAATTTCTCGGGCAGTTTCCAATCAACCTGCCAAATTTTAGCCTATTTCAACACCGTCGTGAGAAATGACAAAATTGCCCCTGGTGCAGTTTTTCTTTATTAATTTTCTGTCCAACTCTTCTTCAAACTCCAAAGCTAGTTGTCCTATATTAGTCCAATTTCTCGGGTCGTTTCCAATCAACTTGCCAAATTTCAGCCCATTCCGACACCGTCGCGACAAATGACAAAATTGCCCTTGGTACGATTTTTCTTTATTAATTTTCTGTCCAACACTTTTTCAAACTCCAAAGCTAGTTGTCCTATATCACTTTTCCATGGAGTCTCGGCGTCCACTCTTAGTAAATAATGCCTCCAAAATCTTTTTTTTTTCATCTTAAAGTCCTTTTTCATGCCAAATTTTCAATCCTTGATGAAATTTGATCTTTATCAATTAGGACTATCAGACCAAATCTCCTTAGACTTCTTTCCAAATTCCAACATAAGGAATTCAAAAACACAATTCCAAGTAAACACCATCCCACATCTTCCAAATAAGCCCCCAATCAATGATAAAACACCAACTAAGTTCAAGTAATGCTCAAACTTAGCAATGAAAAGTGTTTTGCAACGAGCATTCACATAACACACAAAGTGATACTTCACATCAATGTGCTTAATCCTCACGTGAAACATCTTATCCTAGTCAGAAAGATAGCATTTTGCTGACTATCACAATACAATGTAAAAATCAACAAATTTTCACTGATTTTACCAATCAACTCCCTCAACCACATTGCCTCCTTACATGCATCTATAATGGCCATGTACTCTGACTTTGTTATAGATAAAGCTACTGTATTCTGTAAACTAGCTTTTCAACTTATTACACAGCTTCCAATGGTAAACACATACCTTATATATGATCTTATTTTATCAAAATTCCCTGCATAATCTGAATCTACATATCCAATAACTCCATCTGTATTTCTACCAAAATACAAGCTAGCATTAAAAGAACCCCTCAAGTGTCTAAATATCCACTGCATTGACTGTATGTACCAAATCTAGTCTTGTACAAACCATCGCATAAATAAGTGAACCAACTGCACTGGAATAAGAAAACGAGACATATAATCAATGTCTTCATCTGACTGAGGACTTAAGCCAGATGATAATTAAAATTAGGCAATCAAGGGATTACTAAAGCCCTAAGCGTTTTATATATTAAACCTTTGATATACGTTCTTAATGTACCCCTTCTAACTCAAATACAAACTATCAATCTTTCTATCCTTCAAGATTTTCATACCAAGAATCTTCCTTGCTGCACCTAAGTCTTTTATCTCAAACTCCTCACAAAGCAGAGCTTTCACTTTTTTGACTTCTACTTTATCCTTAACTGCTATGAGCATATCATCAACATATAATAGCAAATATAGAGTCAATCCATCATCTCCCTTTCTAAAGTACACGCAACTATCTTAACTACTTCTAATGAAATCAAGAGTAGTCATGAATGAATCGAACATTTTATACCACTATCTTGATGACTTCTTTAATCCATACAAGGACTTATTGAACAAGAACACATAGTTTTCTTCTTCAGAAACTGTGAAATCCTCTGGTTATTGCATGTAAATGCTCTCCTCAAGCTCTTTATGCAAGAATGTTATCTTGACATCCATCTGCTCAAAATCTAAGTCATTCTTAGCCACAACCAAGCTCCAATTGAGCTATGTGTTACTACTGATGAACACACATCCACTGCTTGTTTTTTTGTCTAGTTCTATAGTACCGCTTATCTCAACGAGTTTTACGAACCTACTGACCAGTAGTTTCTTAAGCTCAAGCATTTGAAGTTAACACCTAAATCTGACTGTAGCCCTTTTTCTACCAATATAGTCTTATACCTTGTATTTTCAATCCCTGATGTCTATTATTTCATTTGAACACTCATTTACAGTGAACAATCATTTTATCTTTAGGTAATTTCACCAAGTCCTAAGTATTATTTTTATTCACTGACTACATCTCATCCTGCATAGCAATCCTCTGTTAGAATTATTACAACCGACTGTCTATGAATATATAGTAAGCTCCTCGGTGAATGAATACTGTTAGCCATACTGAATGCATTAGCTACCAAATCTATTTCTCTATACCTCCGTGGAGGTCTAAGGTTGGCAACAGGGCGAAGTGGGCTCTCCCGCTCCATACTCACCCCGTTACCCGTTTAAGGCGGGGCGAGGCGGAACGAGATCTGGCGGGGTGGTTTCCCCCGTTTAATTTTTTTTATATAGTTTTTGATAATTCATTTTATTGCCCCATTCATTCAAGTAAGACAATAATATAGTTATTAATTTTTTTAATTAATAATTTATATTTAAATTTTAAATTATTCGAATATATTTGATAAACTAAGATTTTTATTATTTATCATATTCCTTAAATAATCCTAGTTGCCATCTTCTATTAGAATTAATGAAATTTCGTGGAGTTTCTCCATTTAAAGTATTGAATTCTTTAAGAAAATTAAACAGGGTGAGCCCCCTGTTACTCATACCCACTTCGGGGTAGAATTTCCAACATCATACCCGACCCGATTAAATTGATAATCTCGTGTCGTTTGAGGTGGGACCCGCGGGTGTCGACTATTCTTGCCATCCATATAGAGATCTAATTTGTCTACGAGGTCTATTCTTAGCAATTGAATACTGTCGTGTTACTGGTGGTGTAGTCAAAGTACTACTATTTGACAACTCCAAACCAAATTGATTCGAAGTAAACTATTCTTAAATCTCTGATTGTTCACCTAGATCAATTTTTAAATCCACCTGAATTGAACGATTTTGTTTCTCAGTTTTCGGGAAACCACTATTATTGACTACTTTTATGTACCTCTATTGTCATACATAATTTATTTTTAATATTATTGGGTCCAACTTGATTTGAACAAAAAATCATTTTTTCCATAAATAGCACGCTCAGACAGACGCTATTTATCATGCAAGACTTAGTTGAAATGATTCATTAATACTGCAAATTTATTACCTTTATCAAAGATTCAACAAAATAATGCATGGCCACTGATCAACTAGACAATTAATCCCTTGTGTCCCCTCAATATAAAAATTGAAATCTAAGTGTTCGGTGGTGAGATATAACTTTTAGTTGTCCCAGAAATGAAATATGAATAAATAGGCATAGAAAGGGAAGGCAAAATAAGCACACTGAAATCTAAGCATATGGTGGTGAAATATAACTTTCAATTGTTCTGAAAATGAGAGATGAATAAATAGGTATAGAAAGGGAAGGCAAAATAAGCACCAAAAAATGCATAATAACAAATATCAGAATGCTAACCGTTTAGATAGCAAATTTAACAATATTTAGCTTTTGTTTACCCTAAAAAAAAAAATAAATCAAATATTAAATAGATTTCAATAAAAGTTAATGAAATATATAGTTGTAAAGTTATAAATTTCATGAAATATATGATTAAAATCAATTATTGATTTTAATTTAATTATTGATTTTAATTTAATTTTTTAACTGAACCAAGTAAGACTATTAAGCCAATGATCACGTTTAAAGGACACACTCATTACTTTAATGGCATAACATGCTATTTCAAGACATTTAATGAAGATAACTATCATTATAAACACCTTTATGAAATCATTCTAGTGATTTTCGGAAATGGAGCAACTCATCATCATATGCATAAGCCATAAAGTAACTGGCACTTACTATAGAAACGGGATCCACTCAGAATTATTATATTCACGTCAACATAAAAACGTAAAATATGTATTTTAATTCCGTATACATTTGAATCATAATATGTATGCCGATTTCTGTGTACATATTTCTTAAAATCTAAAGTGATAATTGCAGCAGAAATCCCAAACTTTTTAAACACTAGCAGATTTTTCCCTAATTTTCATTTGTTGCAGCCGCACCCTAAATCTTTTAAAACATTGCATCTGAGATCCTTTTAGATAGAATCTGTCCAATTTATCATTAGTTGATCTAAAAAAGTGATTTTGACTCAAAAAATAATTTTGATCACATTTTACTCATTTTTAAAAGGGCAAAATAGTAATTTCATATTTTCCCCATAAAATAATAAAAAAATTAAATCAAAAAAAAAGGTGAAAACTATCTTCTTCTTCCTCGCCCCCACCCCCACTAATTTTTTTTTTTTTAAATAAATGTTTATATAGTCGATAAAAGTTTTGAATTTCATAAGACTGTGTAATTAAAAATGAGTTTGAGAAAAAATGAAACACCACTATCCAAAGTTAGTGATTTTTTCGTGCAATGACTCCTAACCAATAACCGAACTGAAAGTTATCCTAGACAAGTAATTAATTCACCACTTAAATCAAATTTTAATTTTAACATTTGAATATATCAACCATAAACAATTATAGTTATACTTCACCTCTAACCTTGTACCCATTTCGACAATTAAAGCGCGTATACAAAAAGTGACTTGAACCAACTCCACCAAAGATAATTGGCACAAAAAAAATTAATAAATAAATAAAACGATGCAGTTTGTTCTACGGAAGCACATTACCCTGTGTTTCTAACTACTTATAGAAAGATGAATAAAACTCACTATAGTTACAATAGTGTTCGGGACTTTTACTGTAGCTAAACAGTGATTTCATCATAGATATCAATCATACCCATTTTTTCTTACTCAAAAGGACGGTGAAACCATTTTCCCACGCAAATCCAGACACAATCTTTCTTCTTCATTATCATCATTTTCTTCTCTCACTTCTTCAATTCTTCTCTCGTTTTTTCTGTGATTAATCTCTTCATGCAAAATTCTCGTGAATAGAGAGATAAATCTTGGCATGCTGTTTATTCAAGATTCTACTTGCAAATTTTTTTATTTCGAGTGAATAGAGAGGTATATCCTCGATTTTAACTGATAATTATAATTTTGTTTATTCGATTCACAATTTTGGATTTTTGTGTGAATAGAGAAGTATATTCTTGGTTTGATGTAAATTAAAATGCTTATTAGCTTGTTAATTCATTTATGTCTCTTGTATATCTTATGCATTAGCAATTTTGGCAGAAATCTTGAAGTATGGCTTCTTGTAGCAATCTTAGTGCGGAGTCCCCGCACAAACTGTGTGGGGACTTTTTGGATTTTAACATTGAATAATTTTGAAGGTATGACTTGTCTTATCTTAATCCCTAAATTTATGTGTTAAATGTTTGAGTTTTCGTCATTTCATTAATTTTGAGTGTATGGGTTTTGTTTGTTGATGATTGTTCCGATGATGCCATAAATAGACTTTTGATATGTAATGCAGAAAAGAAGTCTTGAATTTTATTTTACTTTTTTTAGAGCCAACTAGGGAAAAAATCTGCCTTTTTATTTTTTTTCAACTTTTTATTATTATTATTATTTTTTTGGTTGGGACTCTTGATATGGGTTTATTCATACTTTATGCATATTAAGAATGTGTGTATTTTCAGTTTGTATAAGTCTTTTTATATTGAATTTTTGGCCATAAGATCAACAAAAAATAGAAAGGAAAAAACAAAACAAAAAAAAAATATATATATATATATATATTATTTTTTTAGGCTATGGTTTGGCACCTAAAGCAAGAAAATGTAGGACTAAATAAATTAGCAAGAAATCGATGAATGATTAGGTTAAGTATATAAGTTTGATGAAAATGATTGAATTGCTCCAAGTATAATGTGTTTTGTTATTTTAGTCAATAGTTGCAAATGGTTTTTGTTAAGTTTTTAACTATAGGTTTAAGCATAGCATTGTAAGGTGATTGGACAGATCATTTGAATCTCTATCTGTGCCTATAGAATTCCCGTTGCTAACTTTTTGGTAGTAATTAATTGAAAATGAGCCAGTAGCACAATATGATTATATGTTGCATGTTTTTTCTCAATGTTGATGGCTGTACATTTCATTTTTTAGGAAGTTATTTCCACTTTTCATCCCTTGCTTATATAAATAAATATTCTCATTTTTGCGAAATTTTGGTAATATTAGTTCTCTTAATCACTTTGAGCATGCAAACACCTAAAACCCATGAAGTATAGCTTCTTGTTGCAATCTTGGTGCTGAGTGGAATTGGTGTGGAGTCCGCACAAACTTTGCGGGGATTCCATACGAAATTGGTGCGGAGTCCTCGCATAGACTGTGCGGGGATTTTCCCATTCGGAATTGATGTGAAGTCCCCGCAAGGAATTGGTGTGGACTCTGCACGATTGCGTGCGAACTCCCATAAAATTATAAATTATCTTTTACTTATATCCCCACAATTTTAAATCTAATTTTTACTAATTGTCGAAGAAAATTCATGCCAAAAAATTTAATTCAAACTTCAAAAGCATGTTAGGATTATGACAAGAAAACTAAAATATCTACATCACGCTAGTAAAGACATATTAAATACAATAATCGCACAACACACGTGGCATCGACTAATAGAACCATAATGAAGGAAAAAAGAAAGAACGGAAAAGTAATGTCAACAACAAAACAATGAAAAATAATGTCTTCATTGCAGCAATAAGGCCTTTTTTTCCTTTTTTTTTTTTTTTAATTACTCCTACATTAATGTGTGATTAAAATGTAGGAACAAATTTAAATTTACGTGAATAATATTTTATTGTAAGAATGTGTCATCTAAAATGAAATAACTGCTTACCATTTCATAACAAGAGTTGATGAAATGAAGCATCAAAATTTTAATATCTGAACAGTCAGAGAACCAAGTGGAGACAGGGAGATCTCAATTCTTAAAGAATCCCTTTGTCCATCCAATTTCAAACTTTACTATTTTCTCCTCCAATTAACTTCATATTTTCCATTATCGAAATATTTGTAATTCGCATTTAATCTCCCCAAACATTTTGGTTTTATTTCTCTTGCAAAGTCATAGACATAATGGTTTACCCAACGTACAATAAAGTCAATTCAAGTCCTCCTATCACACATTATTGAAAAATTTCATGTCGAGAAAAATGTCACATTAGAAACTGAATAACCAAGGTAGATGGTTCAAATAGAAATTTTTGTCCTCCATAAATCATAATTTAGTCTCTCGAACAAAAGAAAATTACATAAAAATAGTTTATGCCGTTCGAATAAATCACTAATGCTACTTTGCTTTATAAGATGCTCTAGTTGTATATGGTCCAGGCACACCCAATATACAATTACACTATCTTTTCCAAAAAGGGTCTGATTTCATCCGACATCTTGCTTCGAGAGAACCTGATAAATCAAATCAGAACCGTATATAAGTCAAATTTACTATATGAATACTTGGCTCCAAATCCAATGCTTTCTTAAAACTCTCTACTGCAGCATCTATATCATTGAGAGACATGTGTGCCTGATTAATTAAAAAAACTACAAACATGAGTGCTTTGAATTATCTTGTGAGGGAAATAATAAGCAAAAAAATAGACACTAGAACTGGTATTAGATTCAGAACATATTTATCTTGCAATTTCAGTATTCACCAGATTTTTGAAAATTAGATGAACAAATTTCAAACATATGCAGATTTTTTAGCCGGATTACACCATATCAAATGACCACAACAACCCATCTGAATCTTCTCCATGCCTTAAATATTTTAACTCACAAAAATAATTTATAAAAAGGCTCAAATATTTCTTAACCATCCTCCTAGCCATAGTACTCGAACTCTCAGCCCAACTCATTCACCATTGATCTTTTTTAAAAGAGCGAGAAAATACTGAAAATTAACAGCAAACATCTTGCCCATCAAACATGCCTTATTTTCAGTAATATATTTGATGAGTGACATTTATTTCGCATGGCTTTGATTCTTTCTCAAATCTAAATTATCTGCACAAATGTTAACTTAGCCCCCATTTGAGCCCATTCTTTAAAGACTCATTTTTCCTCAAACTCATTTTCAATCACACAATCTCTCAATAAAACAATTTTACACGTAAAACCAAAAGTTTTCCTACTTTTCAAACACACATTCAAAAATCACTTTTACAAAATCTATTTTCCCAAATAATGGGGCTCAAACAAACCCTTTTGTTTCAAAATGACACACGCTACATAGTTTGTCTACTACCTGTACCGAGAATGAAGGAAAGAAATCGTTTTAGTTCTCAAATTCCCCAGGTCATTTTCAATTCACACATAACTACTTGGAGACTAAAACACAAGTCTTATCAAGACACCTAGAATAGTATCATCAAAGCTGATGCAGAAGCTTACAACATATAGCCCTTGTTTGGTCCCCATTATTTCAAATTATAATTTTCTCTCTCTTATTTTCAATTCACACAATCTTCCATAAAATAATATTACACGTAAATCGAAAACTTTTCCTTCTTTTTCAACCATACATTCTACAAAAAATTACTATTCCAAAAATTATAAATTGAAATAATGGGGGTTAAACTGGGGCATAATTCAATCTTTTACCCAAAATATTCATAGACTTATCATATCATTTTGCACTGCAATAACTTGATCAAGCCTTCAGGAAACTTGGAATATATGTGTTCTTCAGACACATCAATAAAACAAAACACACTCAAGCAAATTTTATATCAAACGAAAGCTTCATAAAAACTTATATGTCCTCCTTCAATTAGACTCCCTTATTCTAGTTCATAGAAATCACCAACCTGACCCTGGCGAAACAAGGCCTTAGCATTGTTTTCACCATCACGCAGAGCAAAGTCTGTGTCCAAGAGTGCTCCCTTCAAATCTCCCAGTTTCAGTTTACAAGCCTAAGAAAGAAAGAACACGGGGTATTTAGTAAAGAAAAATTATTGCTCGTAGACAGACGCACTAACTTCAAAATATAAAACCATATAAAAATTCATATGTACATAAAAATAATTCTTGGAAAATTAAAAAGTTCCTCTAAAAAAGAGTATGTAATCATTGCTCCCTTCTAGACAAGGTGAACTGCCAAAAGTTGAAATGATGTATACATTACAATATTTATGCTAATATGTACGACCAATCATTGCCAACAATAACCGCCATCAGTATGTAGATACTGCTACTTTGCCAATACAGTTGGATGTTAGACGCGAATTTTAGTGACTTCATAAAAATATTAAGCCCCTCTTTGGTCCCCATTTTCTTAACCTCATTTTTTCTCAAACTCATTTTTAACCAAACAATTTATGGAACCCATAACTTTTATCAACTTTACAACCATATATTTCATCCACTTTTATCAAAATCTACTAATAATCTGAGTTTTATCTAAACCAAACTGAGGTTAAATATGAAATTATAATAACTGCCAAAATATTAGACACATTAAATTTGACTTCCTTCCTTGGTACAAGGAAAACAATGTCAATTATGTCACGTCCCAAAACAAGGAATCAGATGAAGAATGAACTAACAGCTACAAACCAACCAGAATGCCTGAGAAAGAAGAAAGCATTAGAACCATACATATTAATAGAGAGGTGAAAGAACGTGGCAGCCTAATTATTTTAGCCAGTACTTCTCATATTAATCATGGGAATCCTAGAAAATCACCTCTACCTCCAGGAAAAAAAAAAGAATTTAAAACGGAAACTCACAGAACTGTTGGTAAATATCTGTGCCTTCATCTTTCTCAAATAAACACTCTTATCTGCTATGAGGAAATAAACAAAATGAGAAGAGAGTGAGTCAATTCAACAGCTCATGAAAAATTGGGCTGCTGTCTATTCGGAATAAAATAATAGAGGAAAATAATAAAAACTATAACACCCGCCTTCATCAATCCATTCCTTTTCCCAGCAGACATCCAAATAGCGCAAAGCCTTCCGGTACTTCCTGAGAGCCATCTTATAGTCTTGTTTCTGCAAACAAATATAGAAAGGAAATCATCATAAACGACACAGAAGAAAATGATGGGTACGATGTTTAATGACCATCCAATGATATTTTCAGTAAATATTACCTTGAAACATTCATTTCCATATCCCTTAATTAACTCCACAGAAGTAATCCACCAAGAGAGCTCATTAGAACTGTTATCGATATCAGCAGGCCAGTCGGGATACAAATCACCATCTTTGAAGAAGTTTGTGATACCATCATCTGCCCCTTCTGGAATTTCTCCACAATCTGAAATTGCAACATCAACTGTGGGACAATCATTATCTCCAGTAGTGATGTGCTCAATTGATCGCACAACTCCCATGCCTTTGATAACCCTTCCAAACACAACATGCTTTCCATCTAGATGGGAAGTGCGAGTTGTAGTGATGAAAAACTGGGAATTATTTGTGTTGGGTCCTAAATTGGCCATAGATAACATGCCCTTTCTTTCATGGTTCAGCTCGAAATTCTCATCTTCAAATTTCAGTCCATAAATGGATTCCCCTCCAGTTCCATCACCAGCAGAAATATCACCACCTTGTACCATAAAGCTTTTGATGACACGGTGAAAACGGCATCCCTACCATAAACATAAAACTATCATGGAAAGTTCACAAATACCTATAATTACCTTTTATATATATATATCTTATGAAAATAGCAAGACATCAGAAAGCAGGAGTTCTAATACATATTATGCCTACATAGAACAGTATCAGCTTCGTGAAGTAGAAGACACTTGAGAAACTACACTCCATGCTCGATATGGTTTCATGTGATACAAATTAATTAGGATGGTCAACTTAGGCAGTTGGGGAATGTCTTGTCTAGGCTTATAGAGTTATACTAACACAGTAAAACAGGTTAGACGAGAAAAAGATATGCTAAAGAAATATGGATGATATGAATGCATTGTATTTTCAATGCAGAGGTGAAAAAAATGTTCATGTAATTGACTCCAGTTTCATTCAAATAAATCCTAGTTTGTTGTTCTTGCGCACAGAATTCTGAACATTGCTGATATGATAAGAAGATATAACTGTAAACAACACCCTAAATTTTTATCACCAATCATGTTAAATGTCCATAACTTGAGATTGAGGAACTAAGTATCAGCAATTCTCTGTCTTTTGGACTTCATACAACAAAATAAGGACATTAACATCAAATCCACCCTTCAAATTATGTTACTTTAAATAATTAAATTAAAGCAATCTAAGCCTTATTCTCTAGGGCATCCGCTAAAGTTCAGGCTGTTAATTTTTTGGAAGTTGACAGCTTCATAGAAAAGGCAAAACTACCATCTGTAATTCCACAAGTCCAGAAGAAACGGACAAGGAAAAAGCCAAATAAACTTACCATTTTACTGGAAAGGTCTATATGAAGACCTACACCGAAAAACCAATTTCCTCTCCCTTCAAGGAAGATCAAATTGAACAGAACAACTAACAAAATTCCTGACTAAATGAAAGCAAAATTAACCAGAAACACAACCCCAGTAAAAAAAAAAAATAAATAAATAAATAATCATAAATTATTGAGCCCGTTTATATAATTCTTTATTAAAACCAGAATTTAGGTCCACAAGGACCTAAAAATTCAAGTATTTGTACATATATTTAGCTCTATCTGTATTATTATCTAAGAAAAATCAAATAAGAAACCTTGTAATGGAGAGGGACACCAGTATTAGGCCCAATGCCCCTCTCTCCAGTACACAAAGCCCTGAAATTCTCTGCTGTTTTGGGGACTACATCGTTATACAATTCCACAACAATTCTCCCCTCCAGCTCTCCTCCAATGGTGATATCCAGAAAGCATTTAGGCCTTCCCCCCATTTTTCTATCTTAACTCTCTTCTCTCTAGATGGGCTGTATCTATGTGTATGTAAATGATTCAGGTAAAACAAAAACCCTAGGGAGGTCGTCCCGCTATATATACTTTCGAAATCTTGGAGCTCTCGTCATTATTCAAATGCATCCCTGTTAATTTTTCGCAGGGGTCATGGCTAAATTGCGCCGGCTGCTTACGAGAGTAGATTTTTTGTTTTGTTTTGTGTTTTAATTGCTATGATGGCCCTACATTGTTGGTATAATTGAAATCTTCCCCATTACTTTTTCCTACTATAGTTTTTGCCCAAAATCAGTAAACTTTTTAAAAGTTGATGGTGAATTGTGATGAATGTTAATTGTTGATTCGAGCTTGTTCTAATTGTCTTCGACTTATGTTGAGATTCTTGATCTTTTAATAGTCTTTCAATGAACAAGTCAAAAAATGAAGCATTAGAGACGAGGAGTGCGAGTCATAATAGAATTCCATATTGTAGTTTAAGTGAATACATTTACGTATATAGTCGAAATTTTTTGGTAACAAACGTCTCTCGAGTGACAGGACATGCAAATGCATTATCTCGGATCCGTTTGATTGCAATGATGAAATTTGGGTGGAAAGAAAACGAATTTTAAGGAATTGAATTGCTCAAAACTTGTTTTACTGAGAATTGTCAATTAAATGTGTTTAATTGGTATAATTTTTCACCTAAAAATGTTGAAATTTTGAATGATTTGGTGTTCGCTTAACTTTGCTTTTCATGAAAATTATCAATTAAAGGGATAAAATTAGTTACAATTATGGATAGAATTTGTTTCCATTGCCCAAAAAAAAAATTAGCAAAAAAAAAAAAAAAGAAGGGAACCTGAAAAACACTTTCTCACCAAAATCAAAGGAATTGGTTTTTCTTAAGAAGCTAGAAAACAAGATCATGTGAGGGGTTCCATGGAAATTTTGTCTATCAAATATGCCAAAATGCTGTGGAAAATGTATCCTATCAAACAAGCCCTAAATGTGGGGCACGCTGTTGACTCTTTTCATAACTTGGAGCTTGTGGATGCACATGACCATATTTATCTTTCCCTCACTTGGGTTATGGGTTGTGCATGCAACGATTGATACTATAAAATTAAGGTGATCTCGAGAGAAGGTAGTGAGGATTTTTCATAGCAGGAGATTTGACAAAAAAAATCAAATGCCATGATGCGTAGTTTCGATAAATATGTCACTCAATATGGAGAAATGGTCATATCCTACGTCTCTTTCTCAGCAATTTTCACTTTTACCTTCCTTTATGCATATACTTTTAATTGAGAATTTAGACTTTAAGACTTGGTTGGGAGTGTTTAACTTTAAAATTGATAGAAATGAGTAGTGAATAACTGGCAATAATTGTAAATCCTACGAAGTGTACGGATAAAAAGTTAGTTCGACCGGCTTAATTTATCATTTAAACAAGTCATAAATTTACAATGATCAAAATTAAAAGTCCAAAAGTCTTTCGAGTAACACTTGAATGTTCAAATTCTCTGCAAGCAACACTCTATTTTTCTACATATAATTTTCATTATATTTTGGTCCTTATTTAAAACTTTTTTGGGGCAAAGGTCTTAGTTAACGATTATAATGTTATATTAATTAAAAACTCAAATTTTCGTTAAAAATACAATTAGATCTGGATAAAAATTTAAATTTTAATCTAAGTCAAATTTAATAGTTAATTCATCCACACATTTCATAAAAATCCACAAATTTTGAACTATACATTTCATCAACTTTTATTAAAATTTAATAAAAAATTTAATTTTAATCCCCACTAAACTGAGGGCATAATTATAAACAAATAATAACGAAAAAGAAATAAAATTAACACACAGTTGATGTAAATTATATTTTCCTTTATTTTTATTTTTGTTTTTACTTCGTTAAAGATAAGGATAAAATCATCTTTCCAATAAAATATTTGAGTTTCTAATCAAAGACAAAGGTAAAATTGTCTATCGAGAACTCAATTGCTACAAAAACATAAGGTTGGGGAAATGTAGCCTACAAAATAATATGTAGAAGAGTTACTTGTTACATTTTCAATATATTAGGACTCAAACAATACTTTTAGTTTCTCTGTACCATTTTAGGGCTTCGTCAAACATGTTATCTAAGTAATAATCAAATTGCATGTCTATAATAATGTTACTTGCAAAACTCCAAACTAATAATAAAATTTGGGACAATAGAATATTTAGCTAATTATGACAAACCGACAGTGTTTGTCCTATCTAATTATGCAATGTTATAATCTCCATTATTGTTACCATGAATCACAACAAAGCATTATAACATGGGTTTTAGGACACTGAAAAGGCACAAAAAAACATGTCACATTTGTTACCATCCAACTTTAGAAATATTGGAAATACATTTGCAGTATTTTCCTTTAACTCCCAACACAGAGAGAGAGAGAGACAGAGAGAGAGAGAGAGAGAGAGAGAATCAAAGAAAATTTAAATAATAAACACGCATGCAAGAAGAGATGAAAATTTGGATTGAGAATGAGATCGTCACCATTTTTTAGTGTCATGTGTCTTACTCTTATTAATATACGTCAAAATATTTGGTTTTCTTCCTAACCTTTGTCTTGGACCAACGCAAGCCCATTCTATAACAAGAAACAATAGTGATTACGCACACAACTCATTACCAAATTAGACAAATTAAGAAATAGGGAAACTGAATCTAGGACACGTGCATCTACGACTCCAAATCATCATAAAAAGGTAAACCACGTGCTTCTTATGTGGAGAATGCATACCCATGAGCCTTATTTTTTGAGAAGCATGAGCTACTTGTAAAGATCTTGAACATGTATAGTGTATTCATGAAACTCTTCATTATTACTGCTCTCTTATGACTTGTACTCTATAGTCCTTGTTCTCAATGCTTACTTAACTTGCCCATTAGATGACCATTGGCCATATGCCTTTTTCCGACACTCGTGTTTTTGGATGTCTAGGTCTTATTATGTCCAAAGTTGGAGATAATTAGCAATCTCATTCATTATATAGTCTATTTTGGTGTCATAATGCCTATAAAATATGCACTGTAAATATTAGGATAGTACACCAAAATGTCACATATTTGGATGTGTTTAAAAGTAAATCAAACTTATTTTGTGAGACGTGATTTTAAAAATTAGCTTATATACTAACAAATTATAGTTTTTCTGAAGTTTTTTAAGGTTTGTTTGCACAAATAATCATTAATATATGGATGAAAAGAAGACCTCCATTTTTTTTTATTTGTTTTTTTTTTTTTTTGGGTGAGGGGCGCAAGGACATCCGCATTTCAACATTTAGTCCTCGTTTGAGGATCATTAAAATGAGTTTTGTATGTAAAATTGGTTTTGATTTTTTTGAGAATATGCGGTTAAAACTAGGAAAAAGTTTTAAACCTACAGAATATTTTATTATGAGAATGTGTAATTGAAAATGAAGTTAAGGGGAAAAAAATGTTCTGTTTTAATGGTTGTCAAAGAGGGGCTTAGTTGTGAAATTAGTCATTTTCCGTCTTCTGTTAAGTTGACAATTAAACCAAAAGACTAATATACCCTTAATTTTGAGAATTTTGCCACTTTAACAGAAAATTTGTAACAGATGCAATGACATAATCTCAGTTGGCAACAGATGATTTGATAGGGATGTTGACTGTGTATAAAATAGTCAAATGATGAGATGTCATGTGATATTATGTCAAAGATTATGTTACTATAACATAATTGCAATTTTTACTAAACAAAATCGCCCAAAAATGTAAACAAAAGAACGAAAGGAAGAAAACGATTTTCGGCTTCTTCAAATCCCAACCACCTCATTCCCTCCACTGCCACCACCACACACCACCGTCACCAACTATGCCTTCTCCCACGATCTCAGTAAATTGTCTGCACATCCATGCAAGTTGTTAAGCAGAATGAGAAACTTTACTCTCTCTATTTCATGGAGAGCATCTATTTGATGCACCTAACAAAACTAATAAGTACCTTACAAATTTATTCCTTTTCTCCACGAGAGCATCGTGAATGATGTAATCATTATAAGCCTTTTTTTTTTTAAATGCAATTTTTAACATAATCCAACATAATCTTGATGTTATTATACCACATTTATCGGTGAATATCAATTAATTTATTTGAAAACATGAATAAATGTGACCCACATAAGCCCTAGTTTGATTTCACTAAATACTAGCTTTTTAATATGTTTTGAGCTAAAATTGATGAAATGTGTAGTTAAAAAATTGATAAAATGTTACAGATCTCATTAAATGTGTGATTGAAAATGAGTTTAAAGGAAAATAAGTTTTAAAAAATGAATCCCAAACAGAAATTAAGTTGTTGCATAGTATTATGCAAAGTGAAGGTGCAATATGCAAATAATAACCACTAATAGTGACACTATTTAGTTATTGAATCCTGCTGACTTGTGAATAGCCAATTACAACAAAATTCCCATCCCCATCATTCAAGTTCCTCGACTCCTTAGTGCTACAACTTTTTGAATCACTTGACTCTACAGTCCTTGAGAAAATTATGGACAAAGCACGTCTGATTAGATAGATTGGATATTAGTTTATAATATTAAAAACGAATAAAGAAGTTAAGACTTTCAATATTATATTGTCCAAAAATTATTTGCTCCTACAATTACAAATGAACTATGCTACCTTAATATCTTCTTACTTCAATAAAATTATTGGAGTCGATACATGTGTAATTATTTGAAAATGCGTATTTTGATATTTAACTAGAGTTAAAGAAAAGATGCAAAGACCATGCGTAGTTGCCTAACGAAAAATTAAATGATAACCTCAAAGAGATTTGTTATTATTTTTTAAGAATAATATTATCTAATATCAATTGTGCTAGAACAGTCTAGGTGTCTATATTTTATAGATTCAATTAAATGAGTTATTTGACTTTACATTTAAATAAATATTAATGTACTTAGATTGATGTTTAATATCAATGATGATGAAAAGCATTACTAATTTTTTAATCTCACCCTCAAAGCGTAATTATCACATAATAAATGTCATTTATGGTTGCTTTGGAAAAGTACCTTAATCATGTCACGTTAATTAATGCTGATTGCATATTTGTACTTTGCTTGTGTGTACTC